CCATGGTGTAGTCTTCATTTATTTGGAATGCGCAAGTCACTTACCCTCTGGTCTGTAGCAAGAGCTTAGTTTCCTCCATCTCCATCTGTGAAAGAAGCTGTATGATGAGTCAGGAGCACATGGGTTCAAATCCTTCTTCTGACACACTGTATGTCTAGGGATGACATTTAATCTCTCTGACTCTTGTTTTCTTCTTCTGTTAAAATGGGAGGGTTCTACTGGATGAAATTTTAAGACTTGGAAAACATGCAAAGCAGAATCTCCAAATAATGGGATTGTCAATGCTAGGAGGTGGAATTGAGGGAATATATTCTCAATTGGAGATCTATGGGAAGGACCAGAAGAGGACCCAATGACTTCATGTGTTACCTTAGCATGTATCTTTAAGAAGGGCCCTTTAACACTTGATACTTACTAGCTGTGTGACCCTGGGAAAGTCACTTAACCCCAACTGCTTCATCAAAAAAAAAAAAGGAGGGGCCTTGAAAGTACCATTTTGTCCCATGGCTCCTTCTGTTTTAAGGATGTCAGCCAGTTTGAGTGATAAAGATGTTAAAACAGTATCAGAATTTAGAGTGTGATTTTAAATAAAAAATTCCTTGCTGTCATTCTATTCAAATCGAGAGAAAAGTGATTTAAATCTACTCTTGAATAATCATTTTGTGTCCCACTTAAGCACTTCACAGTGGTAAATATAGTACGTTCAATATCATTTTGTTCTCAGCTCGGAATTCAGCAGCAACATTTATCCGGTGCCCGCTATGGGGAGAGACAACATTGAGATAAAGCATGAGCCTAAACTCATAGAGTTTATAGCCAACTGTAAGGTGATAAGACACAGATAATTGCAATATATGACATTACATCATAAGTGCATTTAGTCGATGGAAAGAACGTTGGATCTGGGAAACCCAATGCCTGGGTTAGAAACTCAATCTTATTTTCTTGAGACAAGTCACCTAACCTCTATGGGTCTCAGTTTCCTCCTCTATAAAAAAATGAGAGGGGTTGGACTGGATCATCTCTAAGGTCCCTTTCAAATATCAGCTAAATACTGTGATGCCTGGGACATAATAAGAGCTTAATAAATGTTGATTGATCCCAAAGAGTTACAAGCAATGCTATATGAGGTCCAAAGGGACAGGCCACTAAGAGGACAAGAAGAGCTTCATGGAGTGGGAAGGGGCCTTTGAATCGGGACACAGAGTAGTCTGTGTTAGCTGGAACCTAGAGAGTTTGGAAGGAGATAATGAGATAAGTTGGAAGGTGGGGAGTGGGGTGGGGTACTAGACTATAGACTGTCTCTGAATGCCAGGCAAAGGTGTTTAAAGGTCACTTGTTTGGGAATAGAAAGTTAGCAGTGGTTTCTGAGCAGAGCAGTATGATGTGATATTTATGGGAAAGAAAGATTAATTCTGGTAGTGGTTTGAGAACTGTTTGGAAAAAGGAGAGAATAGAGGCAGAAAGACCTGATATGGGCCATTTCAACTATCTACATAATGGTAATGAGGGGGCCTACTTGGCGAATATCAATAAAACTAGAGAAGAGGTGTAGGTCATGAGAGAAGGCATGAAGACAGAATTGACAGGATTGATAGTTCATTGGATATCAGTTAAAGGAGGAGGAAAAATGAAAGATAATAAAAAAAAGTTAATAGGAGTCTGAATGATTGGTGATGCTGTAGACAAACTGGAGAAAGTCAAAAGAAGTAGCAAGTATAGGGGAAAGTTAATCAGCTCAATTTGAACAGGATGAGTTCGAGGTGCCTGTAGAGGATCAACCTGGGCAGTTGGAGGTAGGAGCTCAGAGAGATTAGGTAGGGATGAAGGTATAGATTTAGAGGAGAGAATGTAGCAAGAGAAAAAAGAGAAGAAGACTTTGTTATTGCTATCGTTGGCTTTTTTGTTTTGTTTTGTTTTTTATATCTTACATTGCAGAGAAAAGCTTGAGTAGCTTTCCCCTGAAGAGTAAAACAAAAGGCTCAGTGAAGGACCTCAGTTCGATGTGGACATTTCTGGTCATTTGAAGTTTTATGAAACACATGCATCCTCCTAAGTGTCACAAGAGATAAAATTTGATGTTCTAGTAGTGCTTTGTAGATGGTGGTTGAAACCCATTTGGTGAATTCACTGATAATTTCTGCTTGCTTATGACTGATACAATGCTGCTAATTTTTATATTTCAAAAAGTTCATTATGTAACCTTCCTTTAGTGGGATTCATTGCTGTAGAATTGAGGATTACAAATAATTGCCAATTTGAAGCACCAATGCTTCAAATCAAAATCAAAGCAATTGACATCAATGGGGATGTCAATATCTGTGAAATGGTACATATATGTTATTACAACAGCAGTTTGCATGAACAGCTCCCTCAGGACAAGGTGCAAATAGAGATGTTCTCTTTTTGCATGTGTTCCCATTGAGTAACCAAACAAAAAAAAAAGTCTGCTTTTCTAACTAGATTCAGATGGGCAGGAACCTGGTATAAAACATATCATTTGCTGTAAGAATCAGCGCTTTGAATATTGAAGCTAACTTATGATTTTAGAGTGAATAATTGAAGAGTCAAAAAAATTGGATCTTTAACATCTGTAGGAAGACATTCTTTTTAATCTTAGCTATCAGACAGAAAGATTTGATTTGGGTCTGAAAGGTTATATTATGTGATGTCACAATCTTCAAAGGCAAAGAATACTTAAAAAATTAACCATGCTTTCTCATAAAGCTGTGCCCACTCCTAGTATATCATCCTATCTTCTGAGAAAATAAGAGGGTAGCATTTTTGGCTTATAGACATAGCATTTTTTTTTTAATCTTCATATGCTAGTGATTAAGGATAGACAATGGTGACTTTGCTAGTTTATAATTTCATTGAAAGCTGAACGAACTCAATCAATAAACATTTACTAAGCCCCTACTATGTGACAGGCATAGTGCTAAATGCAGAAAAAGTGGACTTAAATTTTGGCATAAAGAACACAGAGTGGAGAGCACAGGCTAGAATTCTAATTTCTTCTTGCTGTGAGAATTTTTACATCAGAAAATTTTAGATGCTTCTCCTTTGGAGGCCTATAAAAAAGAAAGGATCTATTTACATCTGGCTGCAATGCTGTAGGTGTGGTCCTCCCTGAAGGTGAGGGAGTAGTTTAAGAGGAACTATTGGGGCCCATTCCAATTTGGAGCTTTCTCTGCCTTCGAAAAGAATTCACTCTCATGGGAAGGGAAGGGGAGTCTTGGGGGTGTAGAGGAGAACTGCTATTCCTTCAGGGATAAAGGAAGACTGACATCATTGAGAGGGAAAGTGGTTTGCTGGTTATTGACTTATTTGAAAATGCTGTTCTAGGAAAGCAATCACTGCTTGGATGCGCAGGATAGGAGGAGGATAAACTTTTTGCTTCCCACTAGAGAAATTTTATGAAACAGCTCGTTGACCCTGGCAGTATTACCAGGACCAATGAGACCTTAAGGAATACATTGAGCAAATATTCCTTGTGCAAGTTTTTGGCCTGAAACCTGTGATGGACTTTTTACAACAAAGTTTTAGTCCTTCCAACTTTGAAAAATTATGGACCAAAAGCTGTAACTTCCTTATGTGAGATACCTCTTTGTTTTCCTTTTTCCCTTGCTGTATGTTAAATTAGGAATTAGTCTTGTGTATTAGCCTCCTTGAGTAACATTTGAGGTAAATGGGCTCTAACAATGCCACCAACACTTCTTTCTATTGGAAACTTTCTTTCCTTCATTTGAAGTGTTCTTCTTTTCTTTGTTTTTATCTCTTAGTGGCACTCATTGGCCTTGTTTACCCTTCTTATTGTTGTGATTATGACTTTTTGACCTAAGCTAAGGACTTCTAATCTATTTCTGTTCAGTTTCCTTTATTAATAAATGTTTTTTGAATGTAGTCTTATTGAGAACCTTTAAAATCTCAATTTTGTTTAGTATATAGCTTCACACTATTTGCTAGTTTGATAGATATTCCTTTGACAAAAATGTGGAACCAGGATGAGGAAAAGGACTGATCCCTAGAGAACTTTCTCCATGTTGACATCAACTATTAATTCACCCTTTTTCTGATCGAGTTGTTCAACCAGATCTGCCTAATTCCTTTCCCATTTTTGTTTCTCTTGGTTCACTGAGTCATAGATTATTATAAGGCATGTCAAAGAAATGTCAAAGTTCAGTGAAATGAAGGTACTTCAGCTATGTTGAATTAGAGTATGACCACCATTGAAGATACTGAGGTGGAATGAAGATATAGGTCATGGGATTTGTAAAGGTGACTGAATTAAGAGGATGAGAAATCAACACATAGTGTACCTATCAAAAACAAAACATAGATAATAAGGAAGACTATGAGCTCCTTGATCTCCTTGAAAATGAAGGAAGAATGACCTCCTTTTGCATAAATGAAAGCTAGTTGATGACTGTAACGTGGATCTGGACAGGGAAATATCAACAAATGGAGGAAACCCCAAAGTGGAGATGGCATTATAGGAATTATCTGCTAATGACAACGGGAAGGAACAAAGAGTATGTATACCTGTTCCTTCCTCTGGACCAGTGTGTCATGGAGCGTGAGAACAGGCACACCCAGTACTAGGAAGGGTGGCCTGGGATGCAAAGTCTTTCAGGGGGGAGCAGAAGAGCAAAAAGACAGAATAGAAAAGAGAAAGAAGTCCAGGATGAAAGGGATTTTGTTAATGAAGAAACAGGATTTCCAAATGACTGAGGAAAGGAGGAGATAAAAGAGGTAGGACAGAGCTAAATGATGGTGAGAGCAAGAAGTGGTAGGTAGGGAAGAAGGTCTGTGTTTCAACAGTGAGCCTGTGAATCACAGGTAGAAAGGGAGGAAGAGATGTATCATGTACATAGGAGGAGCCTTTGTAGTATGCAACTCTGTTAGCAGTTTTCCTGAATACTTGACTTGTGGGGATTTTGCTGTGACTACTAAATTGCATGTTTTTGATTACCTTTTCCACGCTTCTGCTATGGCTGTAGGATTTCTTTATCAACAGTAACTCCAAGCAGGTAAGGGAATGATTGCCAAAAGTCTTGTTTAACGTAACTGGCTCACAGCCAACTTGGAAATTCTTAGTCATGTTTGTCTGTAGACCGTATAAAATGCAGTGCCTGGTGAAAATCACATTGTATGCTTAACTATACTGAGGTGCATTCAGACATTGCATGTGTGCTCTGAATCTCAGGATGCCAGCAAGACAGTTGAAGCACAATTTCAATTTTTTTTTCCCCTTGAACTATGCTGATATTTAGTAATAAAGCTGTCTTGTTTTCCTGCATTTCACTGAAACATCCTAGAAAGCCTTTATGGATCCTGAAATTTAACGATGTAATTATTTTTGTTCTTTATGACAAGCTTTTTCTGCTGAGTCTTCTAACACCATTTTATTTGTTTACCTATGGCAAAATAAATAAAAAGCTGTGTTTCTTGTGGTTGTCCTCTTATTTGATCCCTGATGTCCTTGGCTACCTGTTCAGGGAGAGTAGGCAACAAATGTGTTATGGAAATCAAAATTTGAACTGATCCCTTGAACAGTCTGTCCTGCTCCGGGACGATAAGGTGCCAGCTATACTTGGTAACCTTCTGGTGCGTGGAAAATAGTCTGCAGGGATTTATTGTTCAACCTTTTAGGTGTTTGTGATGCAAATAATTCTAGCATGAATGAATGAATAAATACTGACTGCACATGTCTCAAGTGGCCAATGGAAGGCCCAAAGTGAGCTTGATTCATTGTGGCAGTTCTCTCAGGGAGGGAGCTTGGGAAGACAGCACATGCATAAGAGGGGGAAATGCTCATCAATAATTTATGCTTGATCTCATTGTCATCACAAACTATCTGTACCTCTAAGTAGTTTTTAAAATGTGTCGTTCTTCATTGTTTTTTCATTTGAAGGCTACATTGAAGTCTTTGCTTCTGATTTCGTATGAGGACAACTTATTTTTATAACTGTGTGTATATGTGTGTGTGTGGTCAGAATGTCATTGTTTGACTTTCATGGATTCCTATCATGCCCTTTACAGAAAGAAACAGATGCCATTGATGACACATTGAGTTCCAGACACAAAGTGAAAGAACTTTCAGTGATTGATGGCCGGAGGGCCCAGAACTGCAACATTCTGCTCTCAAGGTATTGTTAATATTGAGTAAAATAAGCATTTGTAACATAACCTTTCAATGCAGTGAACGATTTTGGTGTGTGACTCACAACTGTTTACATTTGTAAGTATATTGCAAACTTGAAAAATTATAAGCCTGTTGGGAAATCTGTTTCTATGTTGTATTACTAATTAGGGTAAGTGATACTTATGCCTCCCTCTGTGAAACAACTAGGGATGAGTTTGAAACTTCTTAGATTATAATCTCTCTATATATAAAAATATGAAATTACTTGAAACCTTAAGTAGAAATTTGTTTTCACCTTGCAGGGGTGGGGAGGCTACATGTGACCTCGAGACTGAAGGTTCCCCACCCGTGATCCTTGACATTCAAAAAGTGATTTTATATAGGTTATATACATAACAAAGCTAAGTTTTTGTTTATTTTCATTGACCTTTCTATCGTCCTGTTGTACAGATGTTTGTCTGTGGGGTAGCTCACTGCATCACCATACTATAACAAATATTAGAATGTTAGCTTTTTTAAATGTCATTGGTCTATTCCTTCAAGCTTTAGTTCCTTCCTGGCCTTTTGTTTTAACATTTTCTTCTCTTGCTATTTTTTACTAATTAGAAAGATCAAATCAGAATGAAAACTTAATTTTCAAAATTCGGTTTTCAGGGGCACATTCATATAATATCCACACTTGAACAGAGGAAAGAAAAATTGCAAATTCTGACTACAAATTCTCCTTCAGCTACAGTTGGATTGGCTTCTGCCATCACATTTAGCTCCTTGGTCTCTTATTTCTTTCCTCATGTTAATTCCAGTTTAGGATGGTTGCAGTGATTGTGAGGAGTAAGGGAAATGTTTTTTAAAATCTACAAAATTTTTTTTAATGTATTAAAAAGTCATGTTGGGCAAGTTCTACTATGAAAACTTCCCTTGGGTTGACATTGTCATAAGGAGAATTTTCTCAGGAATATAAATCATGAAACACATTTGTTTTTTTAATCTGGTCTTAAAAACTACTTTTGAGAAAAGACCTTTGTAGTACAGAGAGCTAATTTTATGCCTACCTTATAACACTGAGGCCTGTTTATTGTTACATGTTACATAGAGATAAAATATCTCGTGGTGTGTGAGAAAAGAGTTTAGATAACTAAATTTTAATCTGGTAACACATGAAAAATTGATGTGAACCTTTTGATTCAATGTCTAATTGAAAAGCATGTTTCTGTGCTTGCCTGGGATTCATTCAACTCACATATTCCCACTTTTACCCCCTGAATACTCCTTTGAGGTTATTTCACAGTCTCTATTGTGCTGAAGAAGAATGTAAATTTTCCTCAGGAAGTCACCATTGAAAATACTTTTAAGGCAATTTATGTACACGATGGAGTGTATTTAAGGTTTCCCTCCCCTCTTTGACAAATAATGTTGTTGTTGTTCAGTCATTTCTGATTGTATGTGACCCCTTGTAAGGAGTTTTCTTGGCAAAGTACTAGAGCAATTTGCCATTTCCTTCTCCAATGTGTCCCCATTTTACAGATGAGGAACTGAGACAAATAGGAGTTAAGTGACTTGCCCAGGCTTACACAGCTAGTATGGGGTCTGAGACTGGATTTGAACTCGGTTCTTCCTTACTCCAAGCCTGGTGCTCTATCCACTGCACCACCTCGCTTCCTCTGGCAAATAATATTCTTATATAAATGCTGAATTAAATGAAGATTTTTTGAAAATAATTTTTTAATCTTTTAATTCTTTTTTCTTAAATCTTATTTACTGTGGTTTTTAAAAAATCTCATTGAAGTGCAGAAGAAGCTATTTGAAAAACTTTTCAAAGAGATTACTGTCATTTTTTCATTTCTATGCCATAGGGTTTAAATCCCAATGGGAGTAATTACATTGATCCAGTTCCTTGCAGACAGATTGTACTGAACAGGGGCTGCTGATGGTGACATTTACTGAGCTTCAGAGATAAAATCATAGCTTTTCCTGACTTTTCCTGTCCAGTTTTTGAAGAAGTTATTTTGTTCTAATGCTGTGTAATTTATCAGAGATTAGAGTGATTTTTTTTAGTATTGGAGCACTCCACAAATGCTCCCTTGAAGTGATCAGGCTTAGTCTAGTCAGTTTCAAAGGGGATGAATTAAAACACTGCTTGTAACATAAATTAATAACTGATAGGCAAAGTTCTATTTCAACAAACATTGATTCACACAAAAGGGGAAACTTTTTGTGAGGTATTAGAGCTTCCCTGAAGTGTAATAGGCTGCTTTGGGGGAGGTTGTAAGGTCTCTTTCACTAGAGGTCTTTAAGCAAAGGCTCTATAATTATTAACTGGAAATGTTACAGGGGAGATTCTTGTTTCAAGTACAGTTTGGGTTAATCAATCATGTCTGAAGCCTCTTCCAATTCTAAGGTCTAGGATTGTAGGGGCTCTGTTCTGTATAGCAAAACTATGTCCATATTCTGGGTGGCCCAATAGTAAGAATTCTTTATGGGTCCAGTTTTCTTTTGTGTATCACTAGTGGTTAGCACAGTGCCCAGCATATAGTAGTAAATGCTTAATAAATGCTTGATTAATTGTGTTCAGTTATGGGCCCTTACATTGTAGGAAGAACATTGATAAACATCCAGAGAAGATTGACTATAGGATGGCAGAGGGCCTTCAATGTTTAGCCTGGAAAAAAAGGGCTTGGTTGGGATTTACTAGCTATTTTTAAGTATTTTGGAAGTCTGTCAGTAGAAGGCAGGTCAGACTTTTGTGTCTGGATAGAACAAAGAGCAGGAGGTGGAAGTTTTAGGGAGGCAGATTTGGGCTTTGTATTAGGGAAGAAAGTTTCAAAATTCAGAAATACCCCCAAAATGGAATGGGCTACTTTGGGGGAGTGAATGGGTTCTTCATCAGTGGAAGTTTTCGGACTAACATTGGATGACTCCTTTCAGCAGGGATTATAAATGAGATTCTTGTTAGGTTCTAGTTGAAATGGATGGCTTTTAAAGCCTCTTCCAACTCTGATTTTCTATGATTCTGCACGTAATCTAAAAGCTTACCAGAGGAAAAAAGTCGGGTTAAAGGGGTGCTCTCCTTTATCCTATTCTGTAAACAGAACATTTATTGAGGGCCTATTATGTGCTTAGTTCTATATAAGGTGTGAAGCAGAGGACAAAGAGCTTATCTTATTGGGAGACAAAACAGAAACTTGAAAGTTATTGTTTAACAGTACAAGTTAGTCCCTGATGAGGGCTCAAGTGAATGATATTGCTCTTAAGTGCTCTAGGGTTTCTGGGAAGGGAAAAGCCCCCTTATAAAAGAGGAATTACTTGAGTGAAATCTCAAAGGATATCCAGAATTTCTATCTCAGTCCTTCATAGCTGTTTTAAAGGGCATAGAGGTTGCCACAGAAGAGTTAGATCAGCCAATAAGGCTAAAAGCATAGAGTTTTTATTTTTATTTTTATTGTTTTTAACAGGCATGTTTCAGCTTATACATGGGAAGAAGACTTGTTTCTTTGAGACATTGAGGAGCATGGGGATGTGGGTGGGCATGAGGAGTTGGGGGCAAAAGTTATAGCCATGTAGTCAGCAAAAAGATAAGGTCTTTCATGAGGACTGGTACATACATATGTGACTTAGCCAATGAAGTGGTAGGGACATTAGAACCTGAAAAGAGATGATCTCTGGGATATAGTAGTAGTAAGAGAAAGGAAACAGAAAACTGTATAAAATGTTCACTTTCAGCCTAATATTCAGATTACCACAAACTCTCCTCATTCATCCTAGATTCAGGAACACCTAGGTTGGATCCTTTACGTAAAGATATCTCAGTGATACAAAAGAGAGCTAAGGGTTTTATAGGGAGAAGTGCATGGTGAGAGGTTGAGGGTAGGGTTGTTAGGGAAAAGGCTCATCTGGTAGGCGTTACATATCTGAAGCCATACATCGCTAGGAAGGTACCAATGATCAAAACTGGATGGGGCATGTCAGTTTCTAGAATGAAAGATTCTAGTTGTAGATTATTCTAGAAAATGAATGGGTCACCTTGCAGGATAGGGGCATATCTGGATCAGAGGCAGTTTATAATATACAACCTTATAAATCTTAGAAGCCCTCAGAACAGACTAGTTCCCTGAAATGATATAATTTAAAGAGGCAGGGGAAATTTGGGACAGGGACAAGAAAGTATGAACAGAGGTGGATGAGCACCAGTCTTATTTTAAGTGAGAAATAAAATTGTACAGGTAGAATGGGGCCAAATTATGGAGACTGGACCAAGAGAGTTTTAAATTTGAAGTTTCTAGAGATTGAGATTGTTTCTTTTATTGTGTTTGTAGCCCCTGTTGCCTGGCACATAATAGATGCTAAATAAGTATTTGTTGGTTGAAAAATCTTTTCCAGCTCTTCCTGCCAATTTCCTTTAAGCAAATATGTGAGACCAAGAATCATTCCCCAGTGGATATGAAAAAACAATTCTAAAAAGAATTGCAAATGATTAACCATCCTTTCTGTGAAAGATTGTTCCAAATTACCAGTAATCAGAGAAATACAAAGCAAATTGGCATAGATAACAGTTTCTCTTCTTGGTCTCAATGAATTGATTTTGTTTATGCAAAAGCTTTTCAATGTAATATAATCAAACTTATCTGTCTTATCTTTCGTGATTGCCTATATTCCTTGTTAGGAAAAACTCTTTCTTTATCATAATGATGATGGATTCTCTCCTGATCTCTTCTCCCTCCCCAACTGACCATTAATATTCTGTTAAATTATTTCTTATTCTGCCTTACCTAATCCTTTCTACTAATCTACTTTTTTAAAAGAGTAATTACCAAATAGATTTATGACTGTTTTCCATAGCATAATTGAAGTCTAGAAATGCTTTCATTCCTTCCCTCCCCTCCCCCATTTCTCTTGAGCATCTAAATCTTTTATTTCTCTAAATAAATTTTGTTATTAATTTGTTCAGCTCTAGAGAGTATCCTTTGGTAGTCTGACAGAGCACTAAATCTATTTATTAACTTAGGT